TCCTCTCCTCCCCTGAGGCCCGGGGAGCGTTCCCCTCCGGCGGGAGTCAGCCGGGGGAAATGAGCTGTGCGGGAGGCCTACAGGCGGCTGCTGCTGGGACAAATGTCCCCCTTAGTAACTGCGCAGCCGTTTAAGTACCGTAGATGCCGTATCGTTCCGCCCGTTCGCTGCCGTTCTTCGAACACTGAAAAAACAGGGTTGCTCTGAGTTTGTTTTTCGGTTGTGTCGCTCTGCGCTCGTAGCCGATGCGGATCGGCTTAGTCAGTAAAACCCTCTTGTCCACATGTTGTTGCAGCGGCATTGAAATTCTGCTTCTGCTGTGGAGCCATTTGGGATTCGTGACATACAGCGAAGGGGTTTTGTGGTGTAAAAAACCAGCTTGGGTAAAAAAACAGCTTGGCGTTTATTTCTTCCCAGGCTTACCCCGTGCCCTGGCTTTGGGGATGGCTTTTGCTCTACATATGTAACAGTACGTGACTTGATGGAAAAAAGACTTCAGCTGCTCAATGATTTCTAGGTGATCGTGGGCCTCCGAGCCCCGCTTCCTTGCGTGTTTACCGAAATTTGTAGGGTGGTTTTCTCTGCGTTTGACTTCTGCCGATAAACATCTGCCCTGGCTGTGTGAGCAGGGCTGGCACCGGGACCCAGCAGGTACACCGGCAGAAGGTTATTGCTGGCCACAGCAGAGGTCTGAGAGACCCAGAACACCATTTTCTGCGCAGCTGCAGAGGAGAGCGTGTGCTGAGGAAGAACCCTTCCACGTAACGCGCTCCCGCTCCCTGTGTGCTAATGGTGTCACCCACAGGTTTGCAGAACGACCACAAGGCCCTGATGAAGCAGGTGGAGGAAGCTCTTCACCAGTTGCACGCCCGGGAGAAGGAGAAGCATGCCAGGGATGAGGCGGAGGCATTGGCTGAGGCAATGAGCCAGAACCAGAGCCTGCCACAGGCGTTTGCCAAAGTGAACGCGGTGACTCCAGGATCTCCTGCAAGTATCTCGGTAGGTTGGGGGGTCTGACAGCCCGTGGGGAAGGCTGCTTCTGGACCCAGAGAGAAAACACAGCTGATGGCGCTCTCTGTCTCTTGTTAATAAGTGAGAATAAGTGGGGGGTTTGATTAGGGTTCTCCCCCCCCCCCCCTTTTTTTTTTTTTTTTGTCACACTGGGATGTCCTGTGAATAGACCAGTCACTGTACGGGAATGAGATGAGTACTCTCTTCTCAGCTGTATCGTTGCACCACACAGCTCCTGGAAGGCCTCACTGACCATTCTGGCCTCAGTATTTCTCTTCCCATAAAGTAGGACAGAGGAAGGAGTACTTACTTCTTTCTAAGGACGTGAAGAGGGTGTAATGTAGGTCAGTTGCCTGAATGGTGAGAAGAGCAGTGTCATAGCACACCTCTCCCCATGTGGCTGGGTGAAGGGTGATGCTCCTGTGATATTACCTGCCTTTGGAGAAGGCAGATGTTCATCTCTCTTCTATCTCTGTCCAGGGGCTTCAGGTTGATGATGAGATTGTGGAGTTTGGTTCTGTCAACATAAACAACTTCCAGAACCTGCAGAATATTGCCACAGTGGTGCAGCACAGCGAAGGGGTGAGCTCATTTCTGCTGTAACTGCATTCTCTTGCCTGTCTCTGTTAGCCACAGCTTTTTCTATGGAACTCGGGTCTCTGGGATCATCATTTCCATGTCAGAAACAGTGTCAGATTCGGTCTGTGCTGTTGTAGCCTTGTTCTCTCATAGCATTGAGCTAATTCTGCTGGATAGAAGAGAGCTAAGAGGTGTGTGCTCTTTGCTTTGAGCATTATATTGTCGGTTCTCCCCTGGGGACTCCCTGCAGCAGCAGGCAGTGTTGCTGTGCCATCCTCATGGACTGGCCAAAGAAGCTGCCACAGTCATTCAGCACTTTATAGTGGAAGTGAGAGATTGCCTGGAGATGTCTCCCTACCAAACGCTCTCTTCTTTCAGATCTAGCTGCAGGGATGGGAATGGGAGCCGCTGAAGAAGAGCTCCCCTGGGCCTACTGTTCTTCTGGTGCTTCAGCAAAAGAAGGAAGAAGAGGGTTGACTTGGTGATGGAAAGTTGCCATCTTTTTTTCTTTTATTTTTTTTTCCCTTTCAGAGACCCCTGAGTGTGACTGTGATCCGCAGCGGCAAAAAAGTGCACGTGGGGCTGACTCCGAAGCGCTGGGCTGGGAAGGGCCTCCTGGGGTAAGCTGCTAGTTCATTTACTAGAACAGATGAGGCTTTCACCCAGCTCAGAGCACGTTTTCTGCAGCAGGGCCAGCTCTGTGCTTTGGTCTCAGTGTGTGTTGCTGCCCGCTCTGATGGACTTCACTGGCGGGTACCAGCTGAGAGCTGGAGGCTGACAGTTTTGCACAGTGGTATGGCGAGGCGAGTTGTATCAAACATGAGGATCTTCCTCCCTGGAAGATCTCAGTGGCTAGTTTGTCTGGTAGAGGAAACCAACGGAGGAGGGTTGTGGTGGGTCTGAGTTGTGCCAGTCAGATCTTCTGTGCCTGTCTGAGAGCCGAGACTCGTAACTACCCTCTTCTTTTTCAGCTGCAATATCATTCCCTTGCAAAGATGACCATTGCTTGGAAAACAATAAAGCTGAAGTTTGTGCCTGCTTTCTGGACTCTGATCTGGTTTGAAAACTTCCCTACATGTTTTTGCTGAAACAAATGTTTCGGAGGCTGTGACCTCTAGGTGCCTGACTTGCAGAGTCTTGAAGAGGTTCTGATAGAGCAGGGCCTGCCTGCAATTCAGAATTGCACTGGTTCATCAGGAGTAGCTTGCAGAGCTGCAAGATGTGGCTTCTCATCTCTTACGCCTTGTATCAGGTTGGAATGAGGCTATAGAGAGACCCAAACTTCACTTGATACGGGCTCTAAAAAGCGTGAAATGTTCTTACTTGGTGATAACAGAGCATTCCTTTTTTTTTTTTTTTCCTCTCTGTAAAATTTGTCACTGAACATCTTGTAATATATGCTTAAAAAGTCCTGGAGCACTTCTTGTTGTCTTTAACAGTAGATCACAGTCAAGAAATACACAAGTTTGGTACTTTATCTTCCCCGTGTTACCACAACTTTTGAAGTCACTAAACGTGATGAATCTTTGGAATGCCTAATTATTTTAAGTTAATGAGATAAGGAATAGGGTTTATAATTCTACTTTGATTTAGTAGTTTGTATAGTCATGATAAAAGTACTCCTAATTTGGCTTTTTAAATTTGTTTATTTGCAGTAGTTGCTTTTAGGGTGTATAAACTCTTTGAGGGGATTTCAGGGATGACTGGTTTGTTGTAAGCTTGTTTCCAGTTGAACTTCACAATACTCTCCCAAAACAATAAAACTGAGTAATGCCTCTCTCCATTCTTGTGGAAGTTACTATTTTGGGCAATAATTGTGGGCCAAGTTGGGTGGGTTAAACACAGGCCTGCACAGAGACAAAAGCATGACTCCCCGACCTTCCAGAGCCAAAGCCCAGGTAAGGTGCAAGTCTTTCATTAGCACTTCATAAGCAGGTTGGGGGCGTAAGTAACACGTTACACGTAATGAGCAATTTTGTTATTAAGATGAATAATCAGACCTGAAATAGCATGAAAAAGTGGACTAAACCCCTCACTTTTAAATCATTCACCCAGGGCTCTGTGTTAAATTAAGTTTACCCTTTTGACATTTCAAGCGTTTGTGTTTCAGCATACGGTCCAACAGAGCAGATTCTCACTGAAATGGTAAAGCTTCAAAGCAAAGCTCCTTGCTCAGTGGTTCCTGCAGGCTTCACGGCGCTACGGAGGAAGCGTTAACTGCAGCAGCCCATGGCAGTGTTCCTTGGATGAGACTGTATGCAGATAATCCCCATCAAACGCAGTCTCACCCTGGCCTTTCAAGTAATTTTAAAAGGGCTGAAACATGGTGCTGTTTTGCTCCATCTCTTTTCTTGAAAAATAACTGAGAATGGGAGGTGTTTTGGGACCCTCTGTCGCATGTGCATCCTGCCTCACTTTACCAGAGCAGTTCTGAGGCTAAGCCTGCACTGCTGACCTTTACCAGGTGCTATGACCCACAAAGGCCACTGCGTTTCCTAAATCCACTGTGAAATCCCACTGGAAAGCAGCGTGATGTCCCTTTCTGTAGTTACAAGGTAAGTACCCCCCTGGGGTTGTTTTGTAGGAGGGCTGAGTCTCTGCATGGGACCACAGTGCCAAAAGATTTGCGTAAAACAATTTTTAAATGCATGTTGCATCAGGTTTGGAAGCCTTGTTTTTTGCAAAAGGGGTTTTCGTATTTGTAGGTGCTGCTGCAGTTTCTAAACATGTGACTGTCCACAAGCTATCTTCTGTCTCTGTAAAATGGAATGTAAGTGTAAGTATGTGGATAAACTGGGTATCATTTGGCAGCTGAAATGTCAGACTGTCAAGGGGCTGGCCTTGGCCGTGTGTACTTGGGAAATGTGCCTAGGTAGCCCAGCTGTGGCTAGCTTTTACTTGAGCTGCAGATGAATCTGGGTCTAGATACCGGTCCAGGAGAAGAAAAGCTCATGGGACGCATCCTTCCAGGCCTTTGCATTTGTGCCTCCTGGGATGAAACGATCTAGAAAATCCCAGCTTTACGTACCGCTCTTGAAATGGGGTTAGGGGGTCAGTCCAGTCCCGTCAGCCAGGTTAATTCCTGCTCTCTGGGAGCTCGTCTCCCTTTCACCGTGGAGGGTGTCTGCATGCTTCACAGGGCACTCAGCTCTGCAAGGCTTTTGTAGAAGTGTGTCCCCTAACCCTGTGTCCTAACTGCCGCACCTCCAGCCTGTCTGATTGTGTGTCCTGACTAGAACAGGTTGAACAATCCTGACAAGTGTAATAAACACAGATCACATTGCAAAACCTGCTGTGGATAGGTAAGGTTTGAGCTTCTTCCTTAGACCGCACTCAAACATCTGCCGTAGGACCAGAGCAGAAGAGGAGCTGCTCTTAGTCGGAATAAGCAGGGTTTTCATGCTGGAGAGCAGAGATGACTCCCTGTATCCTGTATGATCGGGGAACGTGGACTGGATGCTGCCGGGTGGGAAGAAAAGCACCGTGTCTGCACAGGCTTGACGTGCAGGTGCTGATGCACTGAACAAAGCTGCCTTCTTGTACCTAGCAGAGGTACTGGGGCTTAAGGACCAAATCCCTGCTCCTGAAGCCACAAAACCCACTGGTTTGAAACAGCGGTTGTGCCACAGATGAGAATTTGAGAGCAGCTGTGTCTTGATGACCCGCCTCTGCGCGGCAGCCTCTTCAGGTTGAGGGGATAACGTGAGCTGATAAGAAAACTACTTTCCTCTCCCAGCAGGGTACGAGGCTCTTGCTGGGCAGAAAGAAAAACAAATTAGATTTAGAAATTGTTATTACTTGAGCTTAACAGCACTGCTGAAGTCAGTAGTTGGGAACACTTAGAGCTGATTATCTGTGAAGAAGATAGCTTGGAGTGATCGCTGGCAACGGGTTCCCCTGTGCAAGTGCCATCCTGGCAGAGAGCTGGGGATGGTGGGGGGACCCAGTGGTGGTTAGAGGCTGATTTTTCTCGCTTTGACTCTGCTTGTCCTGCTCAGGGGTGCCAAGGGAGCAGAAGCTGCCCACAGCCCCCTGGGGGGCAAGGGAGGGCGCATTGGGTAAAGATCCCTCATCCTGTTCCCCGGGCAGGGCGAGGGTTCGGTCCCAAAGGGGTCTGGCAATGCCAAGGGGGGCTTTGTCACAGCCATGAGCAGGATTTAGGCTTGGGCAGGGCGAAGGGCTGAATGTCCCCCCACACCACCAAGCTCCTGCTTTGGGCAGGGGGTCAGTGCCACCTCTCCACAGCAGCCGTTGGAGATGAGGCGGGTCCCCCCTTCTCTCCCCACACGGCCCCCCTCTCCCCCGGTGCTTTCTGGGCTGTCACTGATGCAGCTGGTGCGACCGTTGGTGCAGCCAGTGCAGCCGTTGCCTGGGAACAGCAGACAGATTCAAACAAAAGCGGGGACCGGTGTGATGGTGAGTGGTGGGGTCCCCAGGGGCAGCGGGAGGACGGGACAAGTTGGGGAGGCACCAAGGCCTGGAGGGGGCTTGGGAACAGCTCTGTGGTCACCCTGGTGAGACCTGTGGGGCCGTGGCCGTCCCCGAGCAGTGGTCCTACCTGCCAGGGGCCAGAGGGAGGGTTTCTCCCAGGGGCCCCTTCCCGCTCCCATGAAAGCTCTCTGTGCACAAGGTTTCAGTGTTGGGTCAAATCCAGACCTGTGAAGCCCGAGATGAACCAGCTGCTGCCCAGGAGTAGCCCTGCTGCCTACAGGGACGGTGACAAAACCCCATCTGAGGGGAAATGTCCGTGCCCAGAGCAGCGTGTGGGCAGACGGGGAAGGAGCCTGATCGCAGCTGGAGTGACTGGGGCTGTGCTGGGCTTGCTTGCACTTGGCAGGAGTGTTGCTGGAGCTGAAAAGGGGCTCTGGGACCCATTTCCCAGCTTCGCGGGTGCCCTTCCCTCTGGCTGTGCCAAACTCCAGGTCACTGTGCAGCCAAACCCTGGGCGGGGGGAGTATTTCAGAGCATCTCTGTGCCCCAGCTCCCTGGAGGGAGGGTGAGGTTGAGGATGGATGGGGCAAGTGAAGTTATACCAGAGGAGCCAACTGGGGGAAGAACAGGACTAAGCAGTGAGCCCATGGAGATGTCCCAGGATGGACCGACAGCTCAAGGAGATGGCTGTGCTGCGTGAGCTGGCGAGGGCAGCACCACCGCAAGCCCTGCCTGACACAGGGTCCGTGGGCAGGTCCTGATGGAAGCGGAGTCCCCAGCTCCAGGAGCAGGGGGTAGTGTCTCCCGAGACGTCCCCGGGGAGGTGGGGCAGGGACCCTGTCAGCAGGGCTCAGCAGATGCAGCACCTCTGCGTAGTCTCAGTCCAGCCATCAATATTTGCTGAGCACTTGAGCTGCCTGAGAGTTACGTGAGCAGGAGGGAACGTGGCCTCGTCCCTGCACTGAACGAAAAGTTATCTTATCTCCCTCGGAAACAGAAATGGCGTCCAAACGAGGTTTATACCTTGCATGAGAGGTTGCTATAGGAAATCAAGTAGCCCCATGGGGAGAGGCAAAAGCTGATGTGAATCCCAGGAATAAGACTAAGTGGCCCGTGCTCAGACTGGGAAAAGGCTGTCCAAGGGCTGCTGTGAGCTCTGACACCCCAGGGCTATTTAATACACTTATTAACATGCTGACGAGGGGCTGAGGAAGGTGGTGGTGGTATTTTTACCCTTGTTTTCCTTCTGCTTGCCAGGCAGCACAGTGAGAGGTGCTGGCAGTAGAGCTGGGATTGCTGCAGAGCCCTTCACAGCCATCTCAGCTCCAGTCCCAGGACCCAATTCCCCTGTTTTTAACCTCAATTTGCCATCGCTCCCTCTCCAGCATGCGACCATGTGCCCTGTTGCAGCAATCAATAACGTGTGTGGGGAATAGTCAGGGGATGGACAGCAAAAAGGCCAGACTTTTTGCCTTCGAAGGACCTATAGGTTAGCTCTGGAGGAGAAACTTGGGCATCTTAGCCCAGGTGATAGGAGCTGCCTGGAAGAGGTGCTGGTGTGAGACATGGGATGCTGTGGAGGTGTAAAGAGGTCAAGACTAGATGTGCAGGAAGAGAAGAAGCAACTGGTGGGAAACTTTTCCCTGGTACAAATCCATAGGCAGTTCAGGAGCAGAGGAGTATCCTGGTATTGGATCCTGCCCTGAAAGTGATGTAGGTTGGATCCGAGACGTGCTGGAGTGTGTTCCCACTAGCTGCGGACCAGCCCAGGAGCCAGTGCACACTGAAACTTCTCACCCTTTCCAAGGACCCCCTCGCTGCTGCTAAGGAGAAGGAAGGAGCACCAGAGGATGCTGGAGCAGATGCACTGTTGGGTCCCCTGTGGTCTCCTTCAGGCATGGGGATCCCAGGCACCCTGTCCAGCACCTGGGCTGGGAGGCAAGACATGACCGCCTTGAGGACTGCCCTGGGAGAAGACACTGCTGCAACAACACACCTGGAGGGCGCTGGACCCCCTGGACCACCCCCAGCACTGCCTGAGCCCAGGGGGGCCATTTCCAGCCCTTGCTCAGGCTGCAGGATGCAGGAAACACAGCAGAGGAGTGGGGAGGACGACGGGCATGACGGCTCTGCCAGCTTGGTGTGGGCAGCCACGCCAGGGATGCTCTTCCAGGAGGACAAGCAGACCAAACTTCATCCCCTTGTGAGTATCAGCGGGCACGGTGCCACCATGATGGTCCACACAGCACCTGGCACTCCTGCCCAGCTCTCTCCCATCACCCCAGAGATGTTTTGTGGCTTTTTTGTCCCAGCCGCTAAGCGCCAGGGACAAAAGCTCTGCCTCTTCCCT